TCACGAAAATCACAATGCTTAATCTCATTTGGGTTATCAACCCTGTTGTGCATTATAAACCCTCCAATCAAGGCAGTGGGAACCAGGGTTTCTATTTAATACCAAGAGAAATGGTGGAAGTCAGCGATTGATATTAACACAATGATGGGAAAAAGTGTCCAGAGGTGCTGCTCACATATCTCATTTTACAGCATCTTAAAAATTCAATAGAAAGGACTCCACCACAACACCGCTCCACACAGTTCGTCATTGTTCTCCAGAATTCCTCCAGCTCCAAATGCAAACTGCACAATAAAAAATGCTCTATAAATACAGACCAACAGTGCACACAACTGTTTTTTTTTCTTTCGAAAACAAAAGCATACCTGTTAGTCATGAGTCATATAATATCCCTGAAACAGGTTCTTTGCTAAATGTGTATATTCACGTTTAAAAGATAAAGTCTAAATAATTGATCTGTTATTGGGCATTAGAAAATATTTGCAGTTAAGTGAGAAAAGGATGTGAACAATAGCCCTTGAATCACCACTGCCTGGGTGCCCTGAGATTTTTATGGAAGCTCTGCTTTGCCCAACATGTGTTCTGTCTTATTTGTAAAAGCATTCTGGGGGAAATACTATTTTCTTCCAAAGGTCCCATAAGTTCTAAACTTTTTTCTGCTGTATATTTGTCTGCTGTTTTTTATTTTATCACTGGAAATTTTGGGATAAGTACATTTTAAAAAGACTTTACATGGTAGGATATCATTGCCATACCCTCTCCCCACTGCTGCCCATGCCAAATGAACAAACAGATAAAACTCAAACACACAAAATATGGGCCACCCAGTCCTCGACAAAAGATTTCAAACTCATTTAGAAAAAAAAATTATTTCCTGTTTCTTTTATAGGGGAATAAGAGCCAATCGGTAATATTAAAAACACCATATCATTCTGTAATGGAAAGAAATAATAAATGAACAGCTCTTTGATGAATAATTTAATACTAAAATACCTAGTCATTATCTTTTTAGTTTACCGGTCTGAATTTTAAATGATTCAAATTTTGGTGATGAGACTGAATGAGGAAGAATGTTGTTGAGAAGACTGCAGAGGTCACCTCACAGGTAAAAGAGCTGCTCTTCCAGAGGACCTGAATTTGGGTCACAGTTCACAGCCGACTGCAGATCCCACTTTAGAGCACCTTCTGCCCGACAGGGCTTCTTGAACATCTACGCATACATTGCACACACATGCTCAGACAGACACACATAAACACAAATACAAATTTTAAAAGAGCATTGTTAGTGTTATTTTTAAAACCATTTGTGAAAATTCTGAATGTTTTCAAAAATTGTGCTTTCGTAAAATTTATTTTCAAGGTCTTACACAGAATTCCTTAAAAGTTGTTGAGGCATAAAAGTTGAAACCCAATTAAGGGAAGCCTGGTCTATTGGTTGAGTTCCAGGTCAGCCAGGAGTATTCAGTGAAACCCTGTCTGGAAAACCCAAAACAATCAAACAAACAAAAAAAACTGAAACTCAAACTAAAATATTGATAGTGGCAAGTTAAAATATAATTTATATATTCTGTAAAATGTTTAATATTATTACATTTTGCTAATTTTCATTATTAAAAACTGGTGTAGTATCACCACTAATATGTGAGACATTGATTGCAGCTGAACCAGAAAGGATACATTTTTAAAGTGGGCTTTCTTATCTGAGTCTGCAGAGACATGAGCTTGTATTTTATTTATTTCAATGTTTCAAGATGATTTTTGAATCAACTTTCTTAGATAATAACTGTGTTCTCTCAAATCCACTCCTAGTTAGCAATATTCACTAAAGAATGGAAAAAAACTATCAAAAGAGAAAGATTTAACTTTTCAAGTATACTAAATGTTTAGATAATTAAATGTTTAGAATAGAAGCATATTATAAAACATGTATCTTAATTGATACAGTTTCCAACCAAGATCAGTGACTTTACGTTTGTTGACTCTTTCATAAACCCACATTTACTTTTTTTAAATATTTATTTATCTATTTATTATGTATACAATATTCTGTCTGTGTGTATGCCTGCAGGCCAGAAGAGGGCACCAGACCCCATTACAGATGGTTGTGAGCCACCATGTGGTTGCTGGGAATTGAACTCAGGACCTTTGGAAGAGCAGGCAATGCTCTTAACCTCTGAACCATCTCTCCAGCCCCCCCCCCACATTTACTTTTAAGAGTTCACCATTTTAACGTACTAAAACTGATGGAGAAAGGATTGATCCGACGAGTTTTTCCACTAGACACTATAAAACTCCACCTTAGCACCTTGCAGGCTGGGAATGTGCGACTGAAGCTCACAACTAAACAGTGCTAAAAGTGGACTGTGTCTATAGGGTGTGAACCATCTGTGTGGAAAACCAGCCCCACAGAAAAACCAGGCTGTTCCTAGAGGCTTCATTGGATGGGAGCAGTACAAATGCCAAAATTTCAGGGGGTCATAATGCACGTGATGGGGACATAACGCAAGAAAGGGCAGGAAGAGCAAGCATGGATAGAGGACAAAAGTAGGCTGAAGTCTACTATGCTCCCTGTGTGCCATCCCACCCAGGTTCTGCCTCCGTCCTCAGTCCTGAAGGAACCTGTCTACACAGGAGAGTCTATGGAGTGATCTTGCTGGAAAAGTTGAAAGCTGATTAAGTTATTTATTTTGCATGAACACTTAGTGATTATTTTTACATCTTGTTCTCTGCAGAATAAATAAAAATATCTATAAATTCAATAAAGATTATCTTCATAAGCAAAACAATACACGGTTTAGAAACTGCTACAGTACTAGCCTTTCTCTGTCGGAAGAGTAGAGCTGACGAGCATTTTGGAGAGCTGATTCACCCCTCATGATTCTTGCCTAGGAACACTCGGAAGACGTTTGTTTCATTCTAGATAGAATTCCCACAAGGCAAAAGTTATTCTTTACTGTTTCCATTTTACAGCGGTTTATTTTAATAAACTCCTAATGGAGCCCGGGGATGTCATTGCTCTATGGTAGAGTGTTTTCCTAGCATGTGTAAAGTTCTAGTTCTTACCTAATTCCTAACACTGAAATACACAGAGGTGGTCGGGAGGAGAGGAAGAGAGTGGGAGTAGGGGACGGGGGAGCTGACACACTGAAACAACAACAGAACCCCAAGCAACTATGAATCTTCATTGAACAATATGACCTTTAATGAATAACCCTGCAAAGTTGAGGTATTTATGGAAGACTCTATTTATGCAGATGCATGAGGGCATAATACGCTATTTTTTCCCAAAGGACAATGGTTTAAAATCAATGTTTTGAACGGCAGGGGCAAAGGAGTCCTCGACTAGAAAGTTCTACATAATTCATGGATGTGCTTGGAAATAGCATTTCCACACTGAAGTCAGAAGCAGCTGCTGAGAAAAAATGGCTTTTTTCTATTGTCGCAGGTCAGTTCTGACCATTGTGTGCCATGACAATGCAACGTTTGTGTATGTATACTGGTTTGGGAAAGAAAGCTGAGAAGACTTAAAGCATACACCACCAAAAATCTAGACATTTGTGGCTTGGTAGCAAGAAACAGTGCCCCACTGGAAGAATTAAATAGACCATCCCATATGCCCTTAATGAGGTTGTTAATTGGCACATATTAGCTGCACAATTGTATGGGCTTCAAAACAGCTGAAAGAAATGATGAACTTTTGAGGCGATCGTTTTGAGATCTTAAACATTAAAGCAGGAATCTTAGTCAGAGATTCCCTAACCCCACAAAGAAGGAACAACACAAAACAGGTTGTCGCCCACCCTGCCCCATTCAGTTTCACAAACAGCATTTCTCTAGATGTAGGAGCAGGAAGAGAGTTCCTGGGAATCAATATAAACCTCAGAAGAGTCCGGGGAAGTTGCTCGGCGTCTTCAAATTGGATGATGAAGAGGAAGAGAGCTGCCTGTTGTTCAGAGTGTCGATGCTAGAAGTGGGAAGCTGAAAATGGCCAAGTGAGAGCCCTGCTAGGAAACGGCTCACAGGAAGGAAGCGATTCTCAATCGCTTTGGGAATAAATCACGGGATGAGTACTCTTCACACTGGTACCTTTTCATGGCAGGAATTGCCTGCACCCCTGGCTACAGTGAAATTACATGGACATACTACTGGATTTAGACTTTAAAAAGAAAAAAAAAACCCTTAATTTCCTTTTCTATTTGCAAAAAATAATAAGACTAAACTAATTTTTTTTTTTAAAATAATTTAGCAATACCTTAGACTAAGTAATTTTTTTTTTCTCTTTGAGACAAGATTTCTCTGTCCTGGAACTTCCTCTTGTAGATCAGGGTGGCCTAGAATCAGTCTGTACCCCGCCCCTTGGCTTAAGTAATATATTCTTAAAAGTAACTTTACACTAAGCTTTTAAGGTTATTTAAGTTAATGTATTTTGGCTCATGGTAAATTAATCTTATAGTTAATTAGAAAATAACTGTTTCTAAACTTTAATAAATATTAGCTTTCTATTTTACAAAGCTCTGTGAAAATTTCCAAATTTGTAAATTAATCTGTCTGTTCAAACAGGAAGGCAGAAAAAGTACCTGCTAAAGATACTTTTGGATACTGAGAAACATAAAATATTTTATATTATTGAATAACACTGCAGACTAGGTAGCAATTATTTCTAATCAGGGTTAAGACAAACTCCTTTTATTTAATCAAGGCTACATTTTAAGATGCTCATACAGCGATGGCTGATAAATCACAGATGAATCTTAATTATCATCTTGGTGACAAAGTCACTTGCAATGAAAACTTTTAATATATACTTAATATCAACGATATGCCTTGAAATTTTGTAGAATAACATTTTCGGTAACCATCCCTTAATTCTTCATTTCTGTGACTTCTAGTTGAATATTATTAAGAATATTCCATTTACTTGCATGCCCGCCCAGGAGACACTAGGTTCTGTGTTACACGCTGGATGAACACAGTAAAACAAAAGTCCCCTTTCCCATTAAATGCATCGTCTTTCTCTTAGGCCAAGATTTCTAGGGTTTGAATGATTTTCTGTCAGCAGATGGGCCAGAAAGAGAACAATTTTTACCAGTTCATTTTATTAAATACATTTTCTTCTGTTCTCTCCCAGACAAAAAGAGTTAAGCCTTCCACAGTCAGCCCATCAAAAATCTTTTTAAAAGCAGATGTGTATGTGTATGTCCGTGTGAATATCTCTGAGGCCAAGCACCTAAGAGGCCAGAAAGGGGCATCATATTCCATTCAGTTGGAGTTAGAGACTGAGTTGCCCAGAGTGCATGCTGGGAACTGAACGCAGGTCCTCCACAAGAACAGCAGAGCTCTGAACCAGACAGCCATCTCTCAAGCCCTAAAAATCTTCTCATTTTTAATTTAAATTTTTATTTTTTTTGAGAAATGCGTGAATACTGGAAGACTTACATGGATACTTGACAGACTTCTAAATTCATGCTGAAACTTAATTCTCCACACCACCATCCTGAACATGGATCTCTGTGTAAACAAAAATTGCAAATCAGTAGCATTCAAGCTACTTTTAAAACATCCTTCTAAAGTTGTGATTTTTCTTCTTTCATTTTAAAATAATTATCAAAGGTATTGTTTTCTGTTTTTTCTTTGTTGTTGTTGTTGTTTTTAATTTGGTAGTACTGCAATATCCCAACCTCTGTGTGGTTGATTCAAATTAAGCCTTCCACGTAATTATCATTTTAGGCCATGCCAAACCGTGCCCACTACTGAGTTGCAGTTCATGGGTAAAAGCCACCATGTGCTGAACTCAGTATGGGTGAACTGTAAAGATGTGGTCTGATCTTGTCTTGTCTGAGCATGTTAGCTCTCCAGTCTGACAGCGGCCTCCACTCCCTCTGCAAAGATGAACTTATTTACATCTGGCACACCAGGGTACCTCACTCCCTGTCCTGCCCTCTGAGTAAGGCTTCTGATGACACTCTTAGCCATTCTCCTCAGTTACTGAGAAACGATGACACAAAAGAAAAGTCCCTGCAGTTTTCTGCCCTTCAACGTGGGAACCACGATGTTGCGTTCTCCTCTGAGGTCTCACTCAAGACTCCAAGACAATACAGGCTGTGATCCGCTGGAGGCGCCCAGCCCCGGGCACAGACACAGAAAGTCTGACATCTCAGGCAGAGGTATGAGTGCCCTGCTGGGATTTGCCAGCAATCAGAAAACGGTCTTGAGGTTTTGTAGGCCAATTCTAGCCTACCTTTGACTTAACTCTAGAAAAATAAACATGCAAAAATTATATCTTAATGGTTTTAAAAGCCAGAAATCAGCAAAGGAACAGACCGTATCTTGGGCAGGTATTAGCTTTCTTTTGCCAGAAGCACAGAAAAGATGAAGAGTGCTGATTTTGTTCAGCACTTTAAAAACACTGGTTGATAATTGGCAGCGTCTTGAGTCTGAGTTCATCTCTTTGCCATGAGCTCTGTTCTGACCTTGGGTTTTGGGTTCCTATGGACAGAGAGCAAGATCATAATGAATTGGAAATAGAGCACTAGGTTCGGTTGAAAGGGGCTCCCTGTTGGCTGTGGGGCATTTCGAGGAGGGCCATGCATCCCTCCGTGTCTTCTCACCGTGGGCTCAGTGACAGTGAAGCCCATTTTGCTATTTGTTTTTCTTTCCTTTTTATCCTTTTAATTTTGTCACTCTTTAGTGACTCCCATCTGGGAGATGCTGCCCTCTTTATTTCCACCTACCAACTTGGTACCCAGGGTAGGACCTAAGTGATCATCCGGATGCTCTGATAGCATTTAATGTCAGGACTGTTTTCCACTCTAGGTCTTACTGAGTTGCATTGCTGTCTTGACTTCCCTGGGGAGCACTGCTAAGAAGTAAGTGTCACCTCTAGAAAAGCCTATTTAATTATAACCACACAGCTAAGAGAGATGGGAAGCAGGCTTCCCGTGTCCTTTCGCATACACACAGTTCAACGGTTCTCAGCAATAGCACATGTTCGGATGCGTTGGCCCACAAATGTGTCTGATTATTGGCCCATCAATTTCACTCATACCAAATAAAGTAGTTTAGCTTTATTATTTACATGATTCTTAAAGTATGCAGGCCAATGACCACACAAATAAACATGTGCCTTTGGATCTGTATAAAGCCTAGTGTTTATGAACAGGGATCTTTGTGTTCTTAACAATATCTGGCACATTGAAGGAGAACTCTTTGCTAAACCATGGAGCCAGGGTAATTGTGTGCTTTGTGATCTGTGCTGGGCAGGAACCCCAACTTCTACTCTTCAGGCAGAAGAGTAAAAATATCTGTCACTGAAGTCTGACATTTTCTTTGCATGATTAGGTCACTTGGTAGATTTCCACCTCCCAGTTCTTAGAAGCCCAGATTTCCTTTTGCAAAGCAATGTGGTTCTGATTACTTTACTGAAATCCCGGCATAATACCTGTGCTCTATACACACATCTACCACCTACCTCTCATTTCCCATGCTAACAAGCAACGTTACCACCCCCTCCTCCACCATTTCCCTGCGGTGGCAGGGAAGATCGACAGTCCTGTGAGTTGTGGTGAAGTAGAGAGATCATTGCCTCAAATGCAGTGTTCTTAAGTTGGGAATAAAATCAGGTGTGTAGAACTGAGTAAGTGCTTTTCTAATGTAGGGCTGTGGCTTCTGTTCTAGGCTTTAAATCTGTGGCCAGCAAGTTTAGTTTGAAAGACAATAGAATGGACATTACAGAATAGGATTTGACACGACCCTGAAAGTCTCCATCCTGCCTGGTAGCACCAGGTGATGCTGATCCCTAGCTCACCTTTCCCCACCCCACAGACTCCATCACCCTTCTCCTCGTTCTCCCCTGACTTCGTATCCACAGAGAAACCTTAAAGGTGACTGGAGATGGACAGAGTTCAGCATCCCAGCTCTGGTTCCAGCTCTTGCTAGAATCCCCAGATGCTTCTCATAACACTCCGATCAGCTCCTTTCTGAGACATCAAAAGCCTGACATGATCTAAGCTGTGTCATGTTGACTCAGGTTAATCCTTATTACTCTTCCTGTTTCATAATGCATTGTATGCACAATGGCTTCTTCCTAGGGCAGTCTGGAAAAATTTGAGCCTTTTTTTTTTTTATCTCTTCCTGAAATACTTGTTCCATGCCTCATCACATTAGGCATTGCCCTTTGAGTCCTAGCTGGCCCATTGTGTCATCTCAGCAAACCCTTCCTGGTACTTAAAAAAAAAAAAAATCATTCGGAATTTTCTACTACGCTGTTTCATTTTTGTTCTTCATGATCTTTTTGATTCCTGGAATTGCCTGATTTCTTCATCAGTTCATTTTTATATTTCTATATAAGATCATGTTCTTCCCAGGAAAAGAATTTTGTGATCCATAGCTTGTATGGCTTAGCCACCCAGCAGGCAGATTAGAAACCTTAAAAACCAAACCATTGAGTTTATCTAAGTTTTTATAGGGACCAGAAAAGGCCTGTGAAGTTTTGCAGAGTCTCCATTGATCATAGCTAACTCAGGATTCTGTCATCTTTGTTCATTTATTTCCATAATTGCCTTTATTACTGCCAGAAGCCTGGGCATTTAATTTATCTTGTAGCCTAGAGAGAGAACCTAAAACATGCTAGGTGTTTAATCAATGTTGACAAAATCATAGTCATTTGATATTTTGTTTTCAATAAGCTGCAAGTCTCATGCTTACATAGCTAGTAACTCCACTAAAAGAAAATAAAGCTGGGTTTCTTAACATATAAGAAGAGTTCGAAAAGACATGCTGCAATGCAACAAGTTTGTTTCCTTGGTGTTTGAACATGAGGGATGTTCAAACAAAGAGATGGAAATAATCCTGGATGCTTTTCCAGAAGTCTCTTCCATAACTTCTTCAAAGCATAGCTTCAAGGACATGGTCATAAACTTCCTTTGCAAGGCAGATAAGTGTTCAGTGACTAGTGCAAAGGAAGGAAGCAAGCTCTCCACATTTCCAGCTCTCATCCCACCCACTCCCGTCCCTCCTCCTCTATTGCATCTTTACCTTTCTGGCTGTTGGCTGTGTGCATGTGTGCTGCTTTTAGTTTCCTTCCCCCCTCCGTCCCTTCCTCCGTCCCTCCCTCCGTCCCTCCCTCCCTGTCTTTCTGTCCTTCCTTCTAATTTATTTGTTAGTAATTTCATACATGGATGCAATAATTCTGGTCACAACTTCCCCCCTTTTCCTCCCACTCTTCTCTTTCCATTAGGTCATCATCCTACTTTCACGGGTTTTCTTGTTTGGTTGGTTGTTTTGCTTTGTGATTTAGTGGATTTAACTAGAGCAGTCAGTGTGAGCATTGCTGTGGAGCTGTCTACAGGAATATGTGTAACTCAGCAGGCAGTACATCACTGAAGATGATTACTTCCTCTGCCCCAGCCAGCTCTCCACTTCCAATAACACCTCTATGTTTGTATGTTTGTATGTGTGGAGATCTATCTATATCTCTATCTATCTATCTATCTATCTATCTATCTATCTATCTATCTATCATCTATCTATCTATCTATCTATCTATCTATCTATCATCTATCTATCTATCTATCTATCTATCTATCTATCTATCTATCTATCTATCATGTGTGTGTGTGTTTGTGCATGCACAGGTTCATGTAGGGGCAACAGGACAAACTGATATCTTTCTTCAAGAGCTGTCAATGACATTTTTAGGAAAGTAGGGCTTTCACCTGCCTGGAGATTGACAAGGAGATGAGACTGGTTAGCTGTTATGTTCCAGGGATTCTTCTTCAAAGAGTAGCTCACCTGCCTCTGTTTTCCCGTATGCGGGTTTACCGACTTTTCTTCTGGAGTGGGTTCTGGACATCTAAGTCAGGTTCTCATGCTTGCAAATTAAGACCTTAACTGACTAAGCCCTTTCCAGTCCTCCTTTTTGGAGTTTCTAGAAATTTAAATTTAATTCTAGTTTTCATCGTATTGCGTAAAAGTAGAAAAACACGGGAAGAGCTGAAGCTGTGAAATTCATGAAATCGAGAGACAACGAGGTAGAGATTGGGTCAAGAATTAGGAGATCCTTGGAAGTTCTAAAGAGCTTTTTATCAAAAAAAAAAAGGCAAAGGCGTTGTGAGAAGTAACTCTTGTTATTAGCTAGAAGGAGGGCAGACGATGACTAATGTACCTGCTTAAATATGACAGCACGGCTACCTCTCTGTCCTGTCTCCAGACACCCAATGAGCTGCACAAGGAGAATATTTGAATGCTATGGCTACCAAAGAAAATTTCATCAGCAGCTTATGACTACATTTTCAGTTATGATGAATAAAACAGGTGTTTTTTTCCTTGCCTGGTCTCGTGTCTCCATGACACCATTTCTTTTTTCCTGAGAAAGATAAAATTCATTATAAATGGGAATTGGGGACAACTAAGAGAGTCAGTGAGAACACCAGTTCTAATCCATAGACTAGAAACAAGAAAACACAAAGACATGAACAAGAACCTCAGCCTTTTCACTTCATCTGGGGGAAACAGAGAAGGCTAACTGGCCTACTGGTTTAACCTGCCTTGTACTCAACATTACAGTCTGGTTCTCATTCCCTAAACTTTTAAGCAGGAAGAAAAGAATATTTTTTTCCTGCCTAAGAGTGTTCCCCGATATAAAGAAATGGACTCCTGTATATGATTAAATTGAGGATAGCGCCTCTTCCAAGGAAACATGAATTCCTATATGAGCAACAGAGCTCACTCATGAGATGCTCTCCAGTTTCACTACAGTCATAATAGACAAAGAATTGTGCTTACTATAATTAGTTTAATAGCATATATTGGGGATGTGATAATATGTATCTTGCAGTGTTGCTTTAAATCTGATATATTAGTGGCTTTAAAAGAAATATGTGATAATTCATAATTTTTAAAAAAAATTGTAGAGGTATTCCAAACTTGGTCAAGAATAGTAATTGATCATGTGTTATTCTAAGAAGCATAATTTTTTCAAAATATAAAATTATTAGCCCATCTCTAAATTCTGACTCATGATGAGGGAAGCCAGACAGAGGCCACATTAAGTAAAATTCCTTTTGGAATGCATTTCATTATATTAGCAATAGGTTAAATATAGAACTGAAAATCAATGAGCAGACAGTCAGTTAAAGCATCTAGAAAATAATGGAGTGAGTGAACTGCCAGTCACTGGCTTGGTCATGAATGAAATGGGAAGGAAGAGCCTGTCTCTTTGGAAAAGGAAAAGCTTTTACATGTAAAGATATAAAGATCTATTTAAACTGATTTAAAAAATACCCTACGTGTATAAGTTGACTGTGAATAACATCCAAAGCTACTCTGGAAAATTTTCAACACATATTTTTTTTCATAATATGAAGAAACTGTAAATTACACATGCTGTATTTTGTTAATATGTTTTTATGGTCACTTGATATGTGGATGTCAAATTTCAACCTTTTCCTGAATTTGCCAAGCTAACTTTTAAGATTCTTTGAGGATTTTCTAAAAGATAGAAATAAATTTTTGTGTGCTTTTAATGAAATTGAAAGTAATATATTGTTTTAAAACAAAGCAAGCAAGGAAACAAAAACCTCAAGTTCTTTAAAAAAAACAAATACACACTCATACACTTACACACTTACACACACACACAAAGAGAGAGAGAGAGAGAGAGAGAGAGAGAGAGAGAGAGGAGAGAGAGAGAGAGAGAGAGAGAGAGAGAGAGAGAGAGAGAGAGAGATATTATTTTTAAGGCTTATATCCAGGAGTAATTGCTACTTTGAAAATGATATACAGATTTTTTCCTATGCAACTAACCATAGGTTCATCCTCTACGTTGAATCACTTAGGATGTTTTCAAACTTACTGTGAATTAAAATGCATCCCACATCGTCAGTGCCAGCACATATATGTTTATATTTTCTGTGTCTTTCATCACAGTCCAACTTCATCTCTATACCTTTATTTTTACTGCCTTTTTTTCTTTTAGACATAGTTTTTACTTTTCTTATTCTCTCTTCTATTGAATCCTCTAAATGTAGTTTGTCTGACTCTTTCTATAGCATTAATTACAAGTGAGAAAATGACTAAGTTAAAGGAAATTCACATTGTAAACCTTGTTGACCTGTACTATTCCTGTCCTGTTGATGGCTGCTCCACATCTGCCCCACGTGTTCTATGCCATCATTCTGTTAATACAAAGCGTTGTGGTTGTTTTCAGTCTGTGTTTGTTTGCTCACACAAACTTTCCATCCTAACTTGCATTTTGCTGTTTAATGTTCAAGCATGAATGACTAATTCTCACATGCATATTGACTGTGATTCTGCTTTAGTTGAGCTTCAAGTAATTTTATTTATTTTTTAACCAGTTGTTAATTTTTTTCTTGAACTGATACAAAGCAACATCTCATGCTACCATACTAATGCTGTGGCCAGTTTTTGTGTGTGTGTGTGTGTGTGAATTTGTGTTTTTAAAATTCTCTTTTAAAAATCTTGATGTCCAAGACACTATATCAAACTTGGCAAAGTTATTGTGAGCAAAGAGGGCAGAGTATATAAAAATTAAAATAAGGAAAGGATTTAAGAAATATCACAGTCTCCTCACATACCACTTTATACAATAGCTAAACCTCAAAAAGGAAGGGTAGAATTAGAACTTTAGAAGCTCCTGGTTGCTGACACTCTTAAATACTGCCCATGCTCTAAAAGATGCCCAGGTCTCCCCATGGGACTGTGTAGTGTGCCACATACCTTTCCATCTTGAATATTCCACAGGGACAGGCCAGTAACTTCTCAAGACGTCCCTGTGCTCTAAGTGAGAAATTTTTCCATTTTCACACATGAACTTGGGTTTCTTGGAAGTTCTAATTCAAAGTTCTTTCCCGGTAATTAACTGGTGGTGTCAACATTGCCCCTCTTGGCTACACAGCCTTAAGGGGGAAGAGTGGAGTCCTGGACAGTCTCTCCAAGTCTATGAACAAGAGCAGTCAATCTGGCTTTCAAATTTTCCTAATAGCAAAAAGCCCACATCAGTGTGACTCTGAGTCACTGTCCAAGGTTTAATTTCTTACTGCTCTCTTGTGGCCATTCAAATGAACTGTCCAACGGCTTCAAAAAGGCTCTAATATTAATAGGACAATTATTTTCCAGGCAGTCATCATTTTGTAATGGAAGCAATTTATTGTCTTGACATTTGAACATCAAAGTCAGAAAACTATTTCTTTTCTTCTTAGACATTGTGATAGAATTGCAAAATTCAAAACAAAAGCCTAGGAGTTTCTTCTCTCTCTCTCTCTCTCTCTCTCTCTCTCTCTCTCTCTCTCTCTCTCTCCTCTCTTTCTATCCCTATTTCCTTCCTTCTTTCTTTCCTTCTGTCTTCCTTCCTTCCTTTCTTTTCTAATTTCTTTTCACATTCTCTTTTGTAAAGTCAACAACATAGTATTTCTCTATGAAGTCATCAAAAAAATGAAGATTGAAACATTCTGGCCACTCTGAAGATAAAATAATGCAGTTCCCAGCTTGCTCCATTGCTGTGGTTTTGGGAGTATCTGTAGTCTGTGTTTAGTCATCGTAATTTGAAACAGCCACTGCTTTATGGAAGAAAGCATTCAAATATAAATTCTGTATTGCAGTGCAAATGCAGCACAGTTAATAAAGCCCTCCTGTCAGGTTTGTGTCCTACCACACTGACGTGTGAGTATAGAGGACCCAGGGACTGCAGCCTAAGAAATCTTAAGAGAAGGGAATGTTCTGGTATGCTTTCTTCCTGCAGTTGTGCCAGACAAGTGATAATTTCTCTAACAAACCACCAACTCATTCGACTTCAACTTCTGTGGCCATGTCTACTCAAGCCTACTAGGGTTTAATCAGAGTTATTAGCAACTCGATTGTAACTAGCCTGTACATATCACACAGGTAATTCTTCTACAACATGAGGGTCATGTTGCTATATAACCTATAGTCACAGAGCTGGATTTCAAGAACTTAAGGGTAAAAGTCATTCATCCAGTGTCTTTAGTAACATCTATGTGTGTGAAATCCTTGTTGCAGCGTGGGCTCCTGATGGCACAGTCTCACAGAATTTGCAGTTTACTATGAGACAAACATAATCAAAGAATGCCATAAAAACACAATCATGTTAAGCATTAAAAACAAGAGGGATATAAAACATGCCTGGTCATGAAGATCATATCATGCTTTCCTGAGAATGCAATACCACAGACAAGAAGCCTCAAAGCGCAGGAAGAGATGAGGCATATACCCGGGCCCTCAACTGAGGTGGCTGATGGGTTTTAATAATATAAAACAATGGCCAATGCTAGCAAAAGAGAGCATGAGGTACCTTAAAACTGAGACCTGTGTGTAGTGATAAGAGCAGCAAGGCTGCGTCCCTGGCACCCGGCCTACCACATGGCTAGCTTATGCCCCAAAATAATTACACAGAAACTGTATTCTTTTAAACACTGCCTGGCCCATTAGTTTTAGCCTCTTAACCCATTTCTAATAATCTATGCAGCACCACGAGGTGCGCTTACCAGGAAAGATCTTAACCTGCGTCTGTCTGGAGTGGGAGAATCATGGCGACTCCTCAACTAAGCTTCTTTCTCCCAGCATTCTGTTCTGTTTACTCTACCCACCAAAAGGTTGGCCTATCAAGGGGCCTAGGCAGTTTCTTTATTAATAAGAAATCACTCCCACATCACCTGTGTGTCGTTTGAGTTCAGCCAAGGAGCTAGCCCATCTTTACTATGAGAGAGTAAAGAAAACATCAATATTCTCTAAGCATAAGACCTTCTTGTGTTTGAAAAGATTGTTCTCCCAGAAGCTGAGACAATGGAATTAAAGAGATCAGAGTGTTGAGAAGTAAGTCCTTTGAACGTTTCAATAGTCCACATGGTAGGTGACGTTCTGAAGAAGGTCTGAAGAATGTAGCTATAGAGGAGATGGGATATTGACTTCTTGGGACTCGACTATCAGTGCCAACATCACAGAGTGTTATTCTCAGCACATGGCATGCTTATGCTTCCTAGCACAGAGGTGACCAGTTGGGAGAGGCATGTGAGCCAAAAGTGGATGCATAAAAACAGAAGCTGTATGTGATGACCAAGATTTCCAAAAAATGACCTGTGATGGAGAGGTGTGAATGGAGTTGGTATTTTAATTCATCAGGAGCCACAGATACCAGTGAAGAGATTGTGACTAAAGAAGAGAAAAGGTAGTATGCCAAACAAGTAGGGTGCTAACTAAGTCTCTAATAGTTGTGGGTCTAATATGTTAGTGATTTCCTCAAGTCTTTGTGTATATTAACTCCTCAAACATTCCCGTGTAGTCAATGATGCAGATACTACTGTTGGTTTTTTTTTTCTTTTCCTGTGAATATCTGCGTGTGTGTAAATCTACAGCTGTGGGAGAATATGTAGACCCATGTGCATGTGTGTAGATCTACAGTGTGGGAAGACACATGTGCATGTGTGTATGATGCGGGATTCCCCTCTGTATGCTGTGAATGTGTTTTGTTACCATTGGTTAATAAAGAACATTCTTTGGGCCTGTGGCAGTGCAGAATAGAGCAAGGTGCAGATTCCAAACAGAGATAGAGGAGAAAAGTAGGTGGAGTGGAGGAGATGCTGTGTAGCTGCCAAAGGAAACTGATGCTGGAGAATGTTACTGGTAAACTACAAGTCTTATGGCGATACATAGATTAATAGAAATGGGTTAATTTAAGATGTAAGAGTAAGCTAGAAATATACCTAAGCTATTGGACAAACAATGCTGTAATTAATTTAGTTTCTCTATAATTATTGGGGTCTGGGAGGATATGCAGACACGTGTATGTGCATGGAAGCTGCGGGCTGATGTCAGGAGTCTCCTTCAATCATTCTTTCTCTGTGTTCAGGTAGGGTTCTTCAATTAAACCCAGGGTTTGTTGTCACAGCTAGTCTAGCTATACAGTTTGCTTAAGGACTTTTCTATCACTGTCTCCTGAGTGCTGGAAGTACAAGCAGGTAGTATAAGTACAACCACTGGTACTGATGTGGGTTCTTGGTGACACAAACTTTGAGCATCACGCTGCTGCTTCCAGGACAAGTGCTTTAACCGCTGAGCTAGCTCTTGTCCCCTACTATTGCCATCCTTATCACATGGATGAAGCAACATGCTACACATCTTGCTTGAAGCCACACGGGCTGTGAATGAGGAATATGAGTTTCCACTGCTGTTATACTTACCTAATATAAGAAACTTCAGGGAAACCTTTGTTTTGGCTCATATGTAGGGAGTCTCCAGTCTGATCAATGAGCCCTGTTGCTCTTGGGCCTACAGACTGGCAGGAGTAGAGTTGCCTACCTCATGGCTGCTACACAGAAAGTGAGGGAGAGAGGGAGAGACCAGAGCCACACAACCGCTTTCACGCACCATGACTTAGGATAACACACTAGACCCCACCTCCTAACTCTGCTCCTCTGAAATCACAGCTCTGATACACAAGTCTGAGAGGATACCCAGGCTCCAGATGACAGCATCGCATAATCCAACCTCACTTCCAGGCTTTGTTTACTATTATATTGTTCTATATTGTTCTAGTTCCTGAAAATTCAAAAACAAAGAGAACTATTTTTTTTTTTAAGATTTGTTCAAATCTTAAAAAACTCCCAGCAGGCTCAGGGCACACTTTCCTAAGATGCTTGCTTTATTATTTGAGAGTCTCATACGATTGCTTTGATCATATTCACCCCTTCCCTACCCATCCAATTCTGTGTCTTTTTTTCCCTTCAAGACTAATGTGTGCTACCCAAATGTTCTCGGATGTGTGGTCTACCACTGGAGTGTGGTTGACGTACCAGAGGCTTCAGTCTTGAGAGAACGCCCTCTCCCCATGCGAGCGGCTAACCATTGCCAATAGCTCTATGGCTAGGGTGGGATTGTGTGCTCGCCTTCCCACTCCACGCTGAGATTTGTTCTACATTGGGCTGCACAGATTGATGTGTGCTGTACCCACCACTGTGAATTTATGTGTACAGTTGCCCCGCTGTGTCCAGAAAACAATGCTTTCTTATAGTCACCTACAGTCTCAGGTCCTCAATACTCTTTCTACCTCCTCTTCTACAGTGAGAGCTTTAAGTATAAGGGAACATGCCTTTGATTTTAGTGATGTGAAGGTCAATCATGAATTGGGTAGAATGTCGGGGTTATAGCCAGGCTGCCATGAAAAGAAGAGCCAGAGAGATGAATAGTGGGCATTGTCTTAGCATTCAGCAAAGCACATGTGCTCTAAAAGCCATGAATCTAAGAGATGTCTCCTGAACCATGCCTATACAGACTTGTACCAAGGCAATTCCTGTGAGATAAGGGGACTTGAAGAAAACTCTCAAGTTTGGGAGACCAGTCCAGGAATATGAACAAAGGACTCAGCAATGGGCGAGACTCCAAATTCTGCCTTAGAATGAGAGAAAAGTGGAAAATACTAAATTTGGAAGTAAAACAATTTTGCTTCTTATCTAAACAAAATTTATTTTGAAACCAAAATATTTCAGCCTTCCATTTTTCCTTCCTTTCTTTGTTTGTTTTGTGTTTTATTTTTCAAGAAAAGTTCTCTCTGTGTATCCTGGCTGCCCTGGAGTTTACTATGTAGACCAGGCTGGCCTTGAGCTCAGAGATCTACCTGCCTCTGACTTCTGAGTGCTGGGATTAAAGGTGTGCATGCTTTAGCTCTTTCTTCCTTCCCTTCCTTCCTTCCTTCCTTCCTTCCTTCCTTCCTTCCTTCCTTCCTTTCTTCCTTTCTTCCTTCCTTATTTCCTTTCTTCCTTCCTTATTTCCTTCCTTCCTTCCTTTCTTCCTTCCTTATTTCCTTCCTTCCTTCCTTCCTTCCTTTCTTCCTTCCTTATTTCCTTCCTTCCTTATTTTCTTCCTTCCTTCCTTTCTTCCTTCCTTCCTCCTTCCCTCCAT